ACCGCCGCCCATGGTCACCCACAACACCTACGGCATTGCAGGTGTGCTGCCGGCCTTTTAAAAAGGAATATGCTCTTTTCTTGAAGGTTATGTTGTCGTATCGGTTCGGAAATACTGCTGCTGGAAGTTGATTCCAAAGAGTGGTTGTGCGTGGAAGAAAGTGCCTTGAAAAACGCACGGTGGAGGACCGCCACTCGTCCAGATGGTTGGGATGAAATTTTAGTTTATGGCGGGTTGTACGATGGTGAAAATCTGCAGCAGGTATCAATCCGAACAATTCTTCAGAGCACTCCCCATGATAAATTCGGTAGAAGATGCACAGAGATGCAACATCTCTACGCAGTTTCAGTGGGTCGAGCCGGACAGTAAGACGCCGATCGTCAACAATTCGAGCTGCCCGACTTTGAATGCGGTCTAACGGAAGGAGTTGGTACTGTGGCGCTCCTGCCCACAGGTGAGAACAGTATTCCATGTGTGGCCTCACTTGAGCTTTATACAGTTTCAGGCGGTTTTCTGGCGTGAAATACCGTCTCACCCTATTGAGCACCCCCAACTTTTTGGAAGCTATCTTAGCTTTTTCCTCCAGATGACCGCAAAACTGGACGTCGCTAGATATATCGACGCCAAGAATCCCCAGACTCGACTTATTATCAAGGGAAGTGCCCTGAAAGTGAGGTGATACGACAAACGGTGTCTTTTTTGCGGTGAACGCGCAGACTTGTGTCTTCTTAGGGTTAAAGTGAACAAGATTGCGTTCACCCCAGATCGAAACTTTATCGAGTGAAGTTTCGATTTCAGACACAAGTCTGTTCCGGAGCTCATCGGTATGTGCCCGCGAGATCTTTGCATGACCGGTGTATAATGCATCTCCTGTACTGTCGTCCGCATAACAATGAATATCACTGATCTGTAACATATCATTGATATGCAGAAGAAACAGTGTCGGAGATAGTACACAGCCTTGCGGGACACCAGCATTCACAGGTTTTAAGTCAGAGCATGCTCCGTCGACTACGACCTTAATGCTACGTTCCTTAAGAAAGCTGGCGACCCAACTGCACAATCTCGCAGGCAACCCAAACGAAGGTAGTTTTGAGATTAGTGCCCTATGCCACACCCGATCAAAGGCTTTCGCAATATCCAGACTAACAGCTAAGGCCTCTCCCTTATTCTCGATTGCCACTGCCCATCGGTGTGTTAAATAAACTAAAAGATCACCAGCCGAGCGTCCCCGTCGAAAGCCGTACTGGCGGTCTGAGATCAGCTGGCGATCCTCTAGGTACCGGAGCAGTTGATGGTTAATAACTGATTCCATGACTTTCGAGAATAAGGAAGTGATAGCTATGGGCCTATAGTTAGCTGGATCTGAGCGGTCTCCTTTTTTAGGGATCGGATGCACCAGAGCAGTCTTCCAAAACTTTGGGACTATACCTGATGAGTAACAGAGCCGAAAAAGACGCGTAAGAACCGGAGCCAACTCTGGTGCGCACGTCCTAAGCACAATTGGAGGAATGCCATCGGGCCCGCTCGACTTATGGATTTCAAGGGAGAGAAGTGCTCTACGCACTGATCTTAGCGTGAATTTAACATCCGGCATAGAGCTCCTACAACGCGGGATGGTCGGCGGTAGTTTCTCCCCGTCATCCAACGTCGAGTTTGATGCAAAGAGAGATCCAAGGAGATCGGCCTTCTCTTTGGCGTTCAGAGCCAACGAGTTATCCTCCCTGCGCAATGGTGGAAAAGATGACTGACAGAAATTCCCTTGTGCAGCTTTGGCAAGAGACCAGAAAGCTCGAGATCCCGAAGGTAAACTAGCCAATCTCTTGCCAATTCTACCAATATGCTCTGACTTCGCTGTGGCCAAAACTCTTTTGAAGGACCTAGAGGCAAAGTTATACTTCTTTTTAAGGGCACTGATGTTAGAATCTCGCGATGCCACACCTTTGGCCCAGGCTAGGAAGCACTCCTGTTTCAGGCGAGATGCTATTCTACAAGAGGCTCCATACCAGGGCTGGGATTTCCCACCGACAGGTACCACAGAGTTAGGAATAAATAATTCCATTCCCTGGAGCACCACATCGGCGATGGAATCGGCGATGGCGTTGGGATCCCCCAGTGCGAAGCAAACCTGCCTCCATGGGTAAGATGCGAAAAAAATCCGCATCTCATCCCAGTCTGCCGACCTGTAGTGCCAAACACGACGTCTACCCGTAGAACGTGGTGGAATCGGACTCATGAGAGGCACCTCGCTCCGCACCAGACAGTGATCCGACGATCCAAGCGGAGCTTCGACGGAAATCACATAGTTGTCTGGGTGGGTGGTCAGCAGAAGGTCCAGCAGTGAAGGTGAATGGTCCAACACATCAGGTATTCGCGTGGGCGAGGAAACAAGCTGCGTCAGACCATAAGCCAAAGCAAAGTCATGAACAGATCTTCCCGCATAGTCGGTTGTACGTGAACCAAGCCATTCGGTATGGTGGGCATTAAAATCGCCAAGAATCACGACTTCAGCGGAAGGAATCTGTTCGAGCAGGGAATCTGTAGCCATTTGGACGTGCTCAATGAGTTGGTCGGTTTCGATGTTACCGCTGTGGGACCTGTATAGGCATGCATAGACGCGAGGATGGTCATTGCAGTCTACACGCAGCCATAAAACAGACAGGTCCGTTCCTTCAAGATTTCCAAGGCGGCGACAACAGATATCCTCTCTGACATACGCGCATACACCGGCACGCGAAACAAAACAATGTTCAAGTTTATAACCCGGGTACGTCAGGTATGAAGTTTCGTTTGGAGAGGATATCTGTGTCTCCGTTAGAAAGAGCAATGCCGGCCGCGCCGTTTCTAGGTGGTGGTGGACAGCGTTTAGGTTAGAATGTAATCCCCTGATGTTGCAGAAGCTCACATTGAGCGAAGGGGATGCCGTAGAAATATTGCTCCGTTTGCCCTTGGTTCCAAAGAGCGGAATTTTGCCCCCCCCAGAATACGCAGGGCAGCCCGAGCGTGGTTGCTCGAGGGAGGATTCTCCAGCAACATGGTTACTGGTACCTCCCTGGGGTATGTTATTTTTTTTTAATTCCACTGCCATGGTTGCGTGTTGTAAGATAGGGGGACGGGGTTGGGGAAAGGATTTTAGGAATAGGAAAGGGATGGGTATGGGATGGGTTTGGGATGGGCCTCCGGACTCCCTCACTCACCATACGGAATGTGATCGCACTAAAAATGCAACCACTTAGCGTCGGTATTCTGTGAGGGTGTGGTACTTCCCCGGTCGAGCCGGCCCATTCATGCTGCAATACCATATAGGATTACAGCGTGGCTCTACCACAGTAAAAAACAGTTTTTTTAGTATAGTTGTCCTTTTAATATTATTAATGTGATAGTTTGTAAAGATACGAATATAGTATTATATTATCTGTACTTAATAAAATATTTGGATATTAAGATGTTTGTATGTTCTACCAGAGGGAGACTGTACAAAAGTCGATTGCTTCGGTACCTCTGTCCCATTCATGTTTCAACCGTGACGCAGTTGTGTTTGCATGGTTGTGTTTTGGTTTGAAGGGTGGGATATGGCAGTGAATTTACATAGTACAGAGGAATAACACCTGAGTCCTCAGGAGTGGCAACGCATGGGGGGTATCATGGGCGAAACAGTATACTCTGTTATGTCCATGGTACTGCTCATGTCTATAGGCGACGGTTACCACTTTCCATCAGGTGAGCCGATAGCTTGTTTGCCATTCTAAGTTCTATAAAAGAAATGTTTCAAAATAGTAATGTTTTTTTTTTTGTGTAATTAATTTTCACAATTTCAAATAAGAAATTCACTCGGAAATATCAAAATTGATTTCCTGTATAATAATTGTTAATGGAACAAAATGTTCCTACTTCAAATTACGAGTATTGTGTACAAGTGTAAATTCTTGGCTGAATATACAAGAAAATTAAAACAATAGAGAAGATAATAATGTAATATACATATATTTGAAGGTCGTGTTGTTAATTCTATAACATGATTAGAATAAACGACCTATTACTATTATAACTATTAATTAAAGAAAGATAAAGAAATAAGTAAATTAATTTAAGTATTTTTTTTTTATTTAATTTTTATCTAATGTCTGCTAAAATTCTCGTCTTGAGTAATGTTCAATCGACTTCTTCAAAACAAGGAGGTTCTTAAGGTTGGCAATAACAAATGTAAATAAATAGCCAGAGGGAGACTTTGTACAAAAGTCGATTGCTTGGGTACCTCTGTCCCATTCGTGTTTCAGTGTGAAGCAGTTGTGTTTGCAAAGCTGTGTTTCGGTTTGAAGGGTGTGATATGGCGTGAATTTACTGGATACAGAGGAATAACACCTGAGTTCTCAGGAATGGCAACGTATGGGGGATATCATGGGCGAAACAGTATACTCTGTTATGTCCATGGTACTGCTCATATATACTGCTATATCACTGACACTATATAATTAAGTAATTTATTTATATACTAGCTTTTACCAGCAACTTCGTTCGCGTGACATAACCTATATCCCTCTCCATTCTACATAGTATATGTAAAAAATTCATTTATTCAGTGATTAGTTAAGGTAATAAATAAATTTACTCTCAAATATATAAATATATATATATATATATATATATATATATATATATATATATATATATATATATATATATATAATACATTTATAATCCTTACTTCTACGTTCTACACTCGTCACGGCTCTAATCTATCGATGAAACTATAAAGTCTACAAACTTCATACAAACTGAGTCATAGATAGATACTATCTGAGTAATAGATGAATCGATACAATATGATAAGATTATTTGGTATTGAAAACCGTGGATGTAACCACTTCAATGACAGTACAGTGTTTGCATTGCAACCCAAATATACATAACAATGGCGCCCTGTTTAGATCTGCCGTACGTGATTACAAATGTTACTGACGAAGAGGATAAAATTATCAAGAAATGCCTAATAGGTTCGTTTCACCAGTGTATCTCGTATCGTCTAATAACGGTTGTGTCATTCGCGTTGTGAGAATTATGGTGAATTTGGCGGGAAAGTTTAGTGTCGCTTTTTATTTTATTTTTTTTTAAATATGGCCCAGTTAACGTTATTAAAAAGGTAAAGCACTTGTGTTCTAATATTCAGTATTGAGGAGGTAAGAGTGTAAAATTATGTTCATTAATTAATCTATTTTTAGAGGGCATTTTGATGCATTTTTCAATATAGATGGAAATCTAGAATGTTTTGTATATCTAAGTATAATATTTATTGGTGGGAATTGTATTCGGTAAGTTGATAATTATAGTTTAAAAATTTCAAAGTTAATTTCGCTAACTTATTTAAAGTTTATAATTATTTTTAACTGACTTTAAAAAAGAGGTTTTCAATTCGATTGTATTTTTTTATGTGTGTTACTCCACAGTTTTGTCAGCTATAAACCGGTATGGAAATTTTTTCCTGAAAAGGTACACTCATAAATTGTTCCCATAAAAATTTATTTATTTTATTTATTTATTTAAGGCAAACAAACAGCTAAAATAATACATAATTATATACTTAATAATACATAATTATATAGTAATTTCGTAAGCACTAGAATTTGCACAAAATAAAATACAAGTAAACGAAACAAAAAATTAGACAATACTAAAATTAAACAAAATTAAACACATATAAACAAAATTAAACAAATAAATACTACTGAAAACCACAGCAACATTGTCAATAATAAAGTCAAAAAATTTCATCAAAGTCGATTCATTAGTTTAGTTTTCGAATTAAAGTTACTTCTTTTGCTACAATTGAAGTAGTTTTTTTATGAAACACAATCTTTTTAGTGATTCTATTAATACTAAAAATAAAATAAGTACTTAATATACTTTATTTTATTCAACTAACTTTGAAGAAACTTTAATAATTACCTACTTAATATTACATGGATTGTGTCAAGTTAGGGATAAGTTAATTATGTGAATAACAATTTAATGTAATTGGGAAAATTTTGTATTAATTTAACTGTGTAACTAAAGTTATTATTATAGATGATATTAATAAAATCATTTTGTGATATTTTCACGTAATATCTGTATAGGAAAATAAACATGTGGATAGAAAAAAACAATGTGATATTAATTTAAAAAACCGTAGTGTTGGTTGTTATAGGAATTATCAGTAAAAAAGTGTATTTCATTAGCATCAATATATATATATATATATATATATATATATATATATATATATATATATATGAGTAGGGATAATATAACTAATAAAATAATTTTTCATCGTGCCTCCCACCAAATTGTTTATAATTACTCCTCTCCATCCAAAGGTTGCCTGGAAGAGATCGCTCTTAGCGATAAGGTCGCCCATTGTTTTCTCATTGTGATTATTTCCTGTAATTATTTATATTTATAATAAGTTTGCTATTGTAATCTTTTGGAGGAAACAACAAAGAGTATCTATCTATCTATCTATCATTATAGTTGGTGGGGTTATCCTGATGGGGAATACTTCTAGCCCCATAAGTATAAGTCCAGCAGTGGACAGTTAACGGCTGATATGATAATGATCATGGATAATATTAGAATTTTAAATAATTAAAATTAGAGAACAAAAGTTCTTGAGTGGCGACCCTGTACATGCAAAGGACGTCCCCTTTAGATGGAACGACGACCTCAAATGCATTGCGTGGATTATTATAGACTCCTGTATTTTACAGTACTTTAATACATAATTAATAAAAGCTGTGCTGAGTATTATCTCATTAGTGGTTTAGTCGTTTACTAGTAACGGTCAGCAGAGGGAGACTTTGTACAAAAGTCGATTGCTTAGGTACCTCTGTCCCATTCGTGTTTCTATTGTGAAGCAGTTGTGTTTGCATGGCTGTGTTTCGATTTGAAGGGTGTGATATGGTGTAAATTTACAGGGAACAGAGGAATGACACCTGAGTCCTCAGGAATGGCAAAGCATGGGGGTATCATGGGCGAAACAGTATACTCTGTTATGTCCATGGTACTGCTCATGTCTATAGGCGATGGTTACCACTTTCCATCAGGGGACCGTCAGCTTGTTTGCCATTCTAAGTTGTATAAAAAAAAATTTTACCAATCCACCTGCCAAGCGTGGCAACTACTGGCAAAACTTTCGAAGAGGGAGGACCGGACAGTACAGACACACGTCTATGAGTTTTAAATTCAATCACAACTACTATAGACAGGTACATTGATTACGATTAGATGTGTGAAAATTAACTTAGATACGCTCATGTTTACAGTATTTAGCACTATTAACTAATACACAGTAATTTCCTAATAATCCCATACAGTGCAGTCATACATTTGAATGGACTATTTACAAACGTTACTGATCTAGTTCAAAGATATTTTCCGCGTTTTGACCGAGTCAGAATGCAATGTGTCATCACTTACAACAACGTAGCATACGTTGCTATTCCTGAGGACTCAGGTGTTATTCCTCTGTACCCAGTAAATTCACTGCCATATCCCACCCTTCAAACCGAAAAATAGCCATGCAAACAACTGATTCACGGTTGAAACACGAATGGGACAGAGGTACCCAAGCAATCGACTTTTGTACAACTCATTTAAGTAATTCTTGGTAATAAATATGTTAATACTCATTGTCAAGTATTACTAGTCGCCAACTACATCAGGACCCAATGATATACAGACCTTCTGTCTTACATTTTACTAACAAACTATGGGCGTCTCAATGCCAAGTTACTATCGTTATTACTATATTCTACGATTCAATACGGGCTTTCTCTTTCTCTTCTTAGTAATGGAGACTGATAATCCCATTGCTAGCAATATACCCAACCAGGTCACCCTCCTCGCGGTTCCCCCTGGTTTACCATCAGGTGGGCCGTATGCTTGTTTGCCATCTCAGTAGTATAAAAAAAAGTGTACTTTCTTTTTGCCATCTTTTGTATATTTTAACGAGAGATATGCTCTTGAAAAAGGACTGTATATTTTTACGAAATAATAAGACGGTCGCTGCTAGTGGTAGAGAACAAATATAATAATCAAATCGTGACATTGTCAGATATCAAAAAACAAAATAAAAATATAAAATTTAAAAATATTCTCTAAAAAGGTGCGTTCTGCACATGCTCCCCTCTTAAACAGATGGGAACAACCCTTTTAACAGGTCTACGAATTACGCCTGCCTGGGTATCGATGTCTACTACCCGTGTCACGCCGTCCCTACCTGGGTACAAAGTCGTAACTAGGCCTTTAGGCCAAGTACCTCTTGGTAACGTTCCGTCCACGACTACGACGACGTCTCCAACTGAAATTTGCGGCACTTGTCCTACAAATCTTCGTGGTGATAGTGTGGGCAAATACTCTGTAATCCAACGCTTCCAAAAGTGATCAGCCATTCGCAGTGCTCTTCTCCAACCAGATCTACTGCACATGTCACTGTCGGTTAAGTTGGCTGGAATAGGACGACCTGAGGAGTAGCCTAATATAAAATGAGATGGTGTCAGGGCTTCAGGATATTGTGGATCACATGCGACGTGCGTTAGGGGCCGTGAGTTTACCAATGCTTCTGCCTCGCAAAGTAGGGTGGTGAATACTTCATCGGTGGGCGATCTTGTATTGTTGCCTAAAGTTACTTTTAATGCTGTCTTTACAGACTTCACAAGCCTTTCCCATGATCCTCCCATGAAAGGAGCTGATAGAGGGATGAATTTCCATTTGATCATTTCACCCGCAGCAAACTCGGACATCGCTTCTGAATACAAGGCTCGAAGCTCTCTATTCGCGCCCACAAAACTGGTTCCATTATCAGAATGGATTTCTGAAGGTGTGCCACGGCGAGCTATAAATCGTCTTAAAGCCATTATTGCTGCATCTGATGAAAGCGAGTGGACGATCTCAAGATGGATTGCGCGAATGGTCAAGCACGTAAATAAGGCCACATAACGTTTCTCTCTCCTTCGACCAACTGCTACTGTTACAGGACCGAAATAATCTAGTCCCACAAACGAAAAAGGTCTACAATGGTGGGCAAGTCTGGCCTTTGGAAGGTTGCCCATAGGTGGTTGGAAAGTAGTAGATCTACGAACCTTACAAAACTGACAGTTATATGCGACTGACCTCACGGTGCTCCTAAGGTTTATTATCCAATATATTTGCCGCAATTCGTTCACGACCATTTCTGTGTTAGCATGAGCCGCCTTGCGATGGTAGTGTAATACAAGTAACCGAACAGCAGGATTCTTTCCATCGAGTAATATTGGATGCTTCATATCTTCTTGTATTCCAAAGACAGCTACAATGCGTGTTGATAGACGTAAAACGGAATTTTTATCAATAATAGCTGGCAGTTTCGATAACCTACTACGGTGTGACACGGGTAAACCGTTTTGAATACATTTGATCTCTTGTGAGAAAGAATCTAATTGACTTTTACGTAGCACATGAATTTCTGCCAAATGTAAGTCTTCCGCGGTAAGTGTGCTACGTATTGTATTGCGTTGTCGATCAACGTTTGAGTTGGATGGCGGACGAAAAGAAAAAATGCGGCCTTCTACTTTATGAATGAGTTCTATATTCAGGCCTTTTTTTCTTAATGAAGTAAGACGTAACAATGATAAGTAACGATGAGCATATGCTGTGGCACGAATTAAACGATTCCACGAACTAAAACGTTGTGCGTCTGCTGAAATTGGCTTATTCGACTCAATTTCGTTAATGAGATGTATGTGAGTCTCGGGTGTATTAGTATGGATGGTTTGATTATGGGAAACAGCAGGTTCCTTAGGCCAATCAGAAGTTAGAATAAATTCAGGTCCTTTTATCCAGCGTGAGTCTGAAGTTAAAGGGCCTCGGCTTAAACGTGTTGAATCATCGGCAACATTATAAGCGGTTGGAACCCAGTGCCACTCACTAACATCTGAAAGTTCTATTATCTCACCTACTCTATGAGCTACAAATGTCTTGTATGATCGTGCATCATTACGAAGCCAACCCAAAACGTTCATCGAATCGCACCAAAATGTGCGCTTAAGTGGTTTAAATTTGACTGCTTCTACGATGGTTGTAGCTAGACGTGCGGCTATTAATGCAGCTTGCAACTCTAATCTCGGA